CAGAAAGAGGAATACGTAACAAAATAATATGAGAACAGGAGTGTTGTTGCAGCTATTTAGAAATGGTAACCCTATTACAACAAACTAACAAAATATGAAAATACTACATACTGCACTTAAAGTGGAGAGCGGGTGAAAGAGGTCGTGTGGAGTTGTGCAGCATGCAGGAGCTACAGACGTTAGGTGGGGTTTTGAAGAATCCTCCCAGCCGAGCGCTGTAGAAACAGATTCCACTTCAGAGCGAGGGTGTTCTCACATCTCAGTTTATTAGAGATAAACACATTCTGTGCAACATGTTGGACAGAACCGTCCACAGCAAGAAGCAGCACGAGCACCTTAAAGAGACACCTTTAGAGCGACCTGCTCTCCGTCTGCTAGGCTGCCTGGACCCCGAGGAGAGAAGAGAGTCGGAGGGTGAGGGTGGGGGTGAGGGGGAGGGTGAGGTCAACACACCTCCACTTTGTGATGTGTGCACTGAAGGGAAGTTTACCAGGAGCCCGGTGTGAGAGCCAAAGCAGCTCTGGAGCTGGTGCACATGCAGGACCCTTAGAGGGGGCTGTAGGCACGCTCTGTCGTGCTCCAGTGCACTGTGTGTGTATTTCCTGAACAACAAAGTGACACAGTGCAAGCAACAGAGAGACTTCGGTCCGATACTGCCCCCTACGGGAGAGCAAGATGTTTCAGGTCAGACAACGGCAAAGAGTTCACAGGGAGCATTACCAAGCACTATATGCAGTGATAAGGACTGGACACACTAGATATGGTTGTTCGTAGGAAGTGACGCACTCCCTCGTCTCCGGTACACTGACCTGAGACACTACAGATGTTGTTCTAGGAAAGGTGAACACTCCCCCTGTGTCCGTTAATCCGACACTGAGACACACAGGATAGGTTTTCAGGAAAGGTGACACTCGGCCTGGCTCCGGTACATCCGACCTGACAGCACCAGGATAGTGTGTTCAGTAGGGAAAGTGACACTCCGCTGTGTCGTACATCCGAGACCTGGCACACAGGATAGTTGTTCGTAGGGAAGTGCATCCCTGGTCTCGGTTACATCTAGACCTGAGAACACGGATAGGTTAGTTCGTAGGGAAGGTGTACCTCCCTGGCTCCGGTACATCTGACCTGAGGACACACAGATAGGTTGTTCGTACGGGGTAAGAGTGTGACACTCCCCTGCTCCGGTACATCCGGACCTGATGACACACAGTATAGGTTGTTCGTATGGAAAGGTTGACACTCCCTGTCTGCGGGTACTCCGACCTGAGACAACAGGATAGGGTTGTGAGTGGAAAGTTGTCACTCTGTCTCGAGTCTGAGACACACAGGATAGGTGTCGTCTCTCTCAAGTGACACTCCCTTCCTCCCCGTACATCGCGACCTGAGACACACAGGATAGGTTGTTCGTTGGGAAAGGTGACACTCCCTGTGCTCCGGTAACATCCGAGCGTGAGACCACAGATAGTTTTCGTAGGGAAAGGTGACACTCTGCCTGGGGGCTCCGGTACATCTGCTTGACTGAGACACAGCAGGATAGTTACTTCGTAAGGGAAAGGGTGACATCCCTCGCGTCTCCCGGTACCTCGCCGACCTGAGAGACACACAGGATAGTTTCGTTCGTAGTGAAAGGTGACACTCCCGTACGTCCCTGCCGGTACATGCCGACCTGAGACACAAAGGACTAGTGTTTCGTAGGTAAGGTGACACTCCCTGCGCTGCCGTACCATCCCGAACCTGGGACACACAGGATAGGTTGTCGTAGGGAAAGGTCGTGGTAGGCTCCCCGTTTGAGACAACAGACCGAATATCTCGCATCGAGTGACTCGTGTCGTTACACCCGTAAGACCTGTCCACTCCGGCCGGATGGACGAGTCCGTACGTCATCCGAAAGGATCCGCGACGAGCAGACTACCTGTCGTGAGAGATTATTTCGTACGTGGACCGCGCACAGTTTTTCACGCGGTTAGGGCGAGTCGTCGCGGTAAACTACACCCTTATCGCCGCGACCGA